ATCCATCCATCCATCCATCCATCCATCCATCCATCCATCCATCATCTCTTTCCACAGACACCTCTTCTTGCTCTTTTGGGAGGACTCCAAGATGTTCCCAGGCCAACTGAGAGATGTAGTCTCTCCAGCATGTCCTGGGTCTTCCCTGAGTTCTCCTCCCAGTCAGACATTCCCGAAACACCTCCTGAGGGAGGTGCCCAGGAAGCATCTTTACCAGATGCCCAAACCACCTCAACTGGCTCCTCTGGATGTGGAGGAGCAGCGGTTCTCTTTAAGGGGCCGAGATGGGGTAGAGGCAGGGCAGCCAACTCAGGACCTGAAAGCCCCACATGTTGTGATGTCTCTGAGCAAGACACCCAATCCCTAATTGCTCCCTGGGCGCTTGCGTAGCTGCCCACTGCTCCACCTGGTGTATCTCAGGCGCGATGGGTTAAATGTAGAGACTAATTTTGCCATTGTATAGGAACATGCAATGATGACAACACAAAGCACTTTGTCTTTATCTTTTCTACTCTGAGTCTCTCCTGATAACTGAACTTCTCACCCTATCTGTGAGGGAGAGTCCAGCTACCCTGCATAGGAAACTCATTTCACCTGCCTGTTTCCACAACCTCATTGTATTGTCACTACCCAGAGTTCATGACCATAGATGAGGTTAGTAACGTAGACTGACCAGTAAACATTCAGTCAGTAGTAATTTAAATGAGTTATTTATTCTTAATTTTTACAATCCAGAACATTTGTAATTTCTTTAGCTTTATTTCAAACCATGGTGTACAGTGAACCCTCGTTTTTCACGGGGGTTATGTTCCAAAAAGAACCCGTGATAGGCGAAATCTGTGAAGTAATAACCTTTATTTTTTTTACAATTATTATACAATGAAATACTCCATAATACATTCAAACCAAAGAACAAAACCTTTGTACAGGCCCAAGCATTTGTTTAACAAATAAAAGTACTGTATAAACATTTTTTACTAATAACTACTGTACTGGAGAGACGGTTTAGCCAATCAGAATGCAGAACACAATGCACAATGCAAATCCGTGAAGCAGCGTGTTACGATTAAGGGCAACCCAGTTGATAACGAGACCCGAAACGACACAAGGCGAAGTAGTAAAAGTGACAGTGTTTATTATTTACAGTGGTATTTACAAATATACAAGATGGTTCCTCTGGAATCCCTGAAGGAGGAAGTGGAAACGTCAGGAAGAGATAGGCCAAGGAGTTGTCTCAAATAATATTCAATTTCTTTGTTTGGTCTTACAGATGGAGGAGGTGGAGGTGTCCTGAAGGAATCCAACTGAATCACAGGGGCGAGGCAGGTCAGGCACGTGGCAGGAGGGCAAGGCACCAAAAACATGAATCCAAACGAGGAAGGTCGAAACGAGATGGCTGTAGGCACACAAAAACAAGGTAA